GGGTCTAACCAAGAAGAAAGGAAACGGCCGAAGGGAGTCGTAAATTACGTCTTAGCTCCCCTTGATTTTAGGAGTTAAGTGTTATTTTATAGGGGGTAGGAATTAGGTTAGGTCAAATGGGGAATGGGTATGGGCCTAATATTTTGGGGTATCCGAAAATGGGCCTCTTCAATTAAGACCAAACAAAATTAGCCCCAAATTTCATACTCTTTTTTCTAAAACAAGACCAAAAATACTACACCATTTACTAATTAATTCTATTTAAGTAAAATAACTATTAAAATAACACTAACCGTTAAAACAAACCTATTTTTTGGTATTTTTCAAATATCATACTAAAAGGTAAAAATGAAATTAGATTAAAATCATTGCAAAAATTAAAATAATATTCCTAAAAACAAAGTGGAACTATTTTGTATTTTTTTTTTAGAATTTTATGTAAAGTAGATAGATTAAAAGTAACTAGATAAAAATATTAATTAGCTAAATAAGAGAAAATATTTTTGTAATTTTCATTTTTGTGATAAAATAAAGTAAGAAGAGCGATACTAAACCTAAACTAATTATTTACGCTAAAATATGTAAAATCTTGGGAAGGGTCAAAAATTACTTGTCTACAGCCGCGTTCGCGGGGAGTTGTGAAGCTAAAGGTTCGTGTTCGCGTGCATTTGGTCGCGTTCGCGATGAGGGGAAAATGGTCAACTTAAGTTTTTGCTTCGCGAACGCGAGGCGTTGACCGTGTTCGCGAAGGAGGTTTTTGAATAGCTGGGCAGAATGATTTAAAAGGCCATATCCGCGATTTTAAGCCTAAGTTCCACCATTTTTTAGCGATTTTAGAGCTTTTTGAAGAGGATTGAAGAGGAAATCAAGGGGGAACACTTGGAGGTAAGATTTATGGACTTAATACTCAATCCTAATGTGTTTTCTACCTAATTAATCATGAAATTTATGGAATTTAAGCCTAAATATTGAAAAATTAGGGCTTGTAATTGGAGACCTAAAATTAGGGATTTGAGGGATCATTTGTGGTTGGATTTTGATACTTTTGATATAAATGAACTCGGGGAGTGATAAGGAGTCTATTGATGTAATTTTTATCGGATTCCGAGACGTGGGCCCGAGGGTCGGGTTTGGCCAATTTCGGGATTTATGTTGTAATTTGATTTCTTTCGAGTGGGCTTTGTTCCCTTAGCATATTTTGATGGTTTTGCACTGATTTTGGTTAGATTTGGAGCATTCGGAGGCCGATTCGAGAGGCAAGGGCATCGCGGCTAGAGTTTGGACCGGATAGAGGTGAGTAATGATTGTAAATGTTGTCCTGAGGGTATGAAACCCTAGATTTCACATCGTTGTGCTATATTGAGGTGACGCACATGCTAGATGATGAGCGTGAGGTTGTGCATCGCTAGGGATTGTGACTTAGTCCATCCGGTATGACTGTTTAACAGCGTATTTGATTGAAAACTGTTTGCTATCATCATGTTTTGGGCTGAATGCCATATTTGGGCCTCGTGCCAACTGTTTGGACCCTTAGGGGATTTTTACTGCTCTTTCCTCACTATTTTGATTTTATATCTGTACTCGGTCATGCTATATTCTACTGTTTTCATAACTCAACCATGTTTACTCTATTTTAACACTTTAAATGATATTTTGGGCTAATCATCATATTTTACTGTGCCCGAGTGGCTTTTTGAGATTTCTGACTGAGTAGGGTCGAGGGCATGTGTCATGAGGATTATTATGGGATCGGGCTGCACGCCGCAGCAGTGTTGTACTAATTATGATTATGAGGCCGAGGGCCTGAGTTGTACGCTACAAAGTGGCTTGATATAAGGCCGAGTGCCTATTTAATTATGTCACGAGATGACTTGATATTGCGCTTGGGCCGTAAGGGGCCCCTCCCGGAGTTTGTACTCCCCCAGTGAGCGTGGGTACCCAGTATGATATGTGATATAGCCCGAGGGGCTGATGTTGTTCCATGTTATTGCCCGAGGGGCTGATTTCTATGATATTATGTCCAAGGGGCTGATTTTATGTGTTTATCTTTTCTCGCTGCTTTTCATTCACTTGTTTAACTGTTAAAAGATGTTTTAAAGAGGTTTTTACTGAACTGAGGTGTTTTTACAAGTTTTCATTGTTCTATTGCATTGTATTGATTTCATACTGCCTCTTTGTAGCATTTCGCTGTGTTTTACGTGTTTTCTTATCGCTCAGCTGTCTTTACTTTTATTACTCACTGAGTTGGCGTACTCACATTACTCCCTACACCCTGTGTGCAGATACAGGAGCCTTGGGTCCTGCTAGCAAGGGATGATTGCTTCCAGCGGGCTAATCAGAGTTCACTAGGTAGCTGCTCGGCGTTCGCAGCCCTGTGTTTCTCCCTCCTATCTTTATTTTCCCTTGTACCGGATTCTGTTATAGATTGTGTAGTCCTTTTCCATACTCTTAGACTTATGATTAGATACTCATGACTGGTGACACCCCGATGTCGGGCTGTGTTTATTTTCGCGTTGTTCTATTTTACTTTATATTGGGATTTATCATCTGTTAATGTTTTAAACTGAATTATTATAACTGCTAAAAATGGATTGGGAGTTTGTGTCGGCTGGTCTTGTTTCACGATAGGCGCCATCACGACCGGGTTCGGGTTTAAGATCGTGACACATACTCTAATTTACCAACTAACCAAGAGACCATGTCAGCAGAAGCAATCATATCCGAGTGTGCCACCAGAAGAACAAAGTTTGTAACTTCTATCCTGACCTTACACAGAGATGATTAAACAACTTGCAAAAGTTAAGCCAAAAGACTATACTATCCTTCTCCCAAAACCAATATGCTAGGACATAGGCTTATCAAAAAATAAGCTGACAAGAAGTAACTGAAAATGATCAACCACACGAGGAAACAAACACAGCAGCAAAGATTTTACACCTAGCTCGCACCCGCCAGCAGTAGACAAAGCAATTGCAACTCCAGACTAGTAAGCAAGGTCTCACTTCTGATAGGGATGAAACCGTCTGCTTGCAGCACCACCATTCTCATATGCTTTGGCACCTCCGGTGCTACCACCAACACCATATCCTTTAGCATTGCCAGATACAGAGCCTTTAGCCCCACCATACCAGCTACTATCACCGCCTGTATATCCTCTACTGCCAGCATACCCAGTGGTACCACCATAGCTACAAGGAGCCACATAGCTAGTGCCTCCGGATACACCTGCCCTATACATAGGTCCACTAAACCCAAAACCATAACCATATCCACCATACCCAGAGTAAAATCTTGCAACACCTCCATCATAACTTCCTCCAATGTTTCCATAACCACAATAGCCACCACCACCACCACCATGTCCGCCATATCCACCATACCCTCTACCCATCGTTCCGCCATATCCACCACCAAACCCTCCTTCAGACCCACCGAAGCCAATGTATGATTTCGAACCACTCCCACCATGATGCTGCCTGCTCCCGTTTGCATATTCAGCACCAGCTCTTTTTGGCTCAGCCCTCTTAATTTCAGCCTGAAGATGTCAAAATGTCAAAGAGCTGTATATATTTCATTTCACACAAGTACCATAGAGATAATTAATCATGATTAATACAGAGTCAACGTGACTTACTTGTTTGCCACAGATTTCATGCATACGACCATTGTTTAAAACTTTTTCAATGGCATGTTCACTATCAAAAGTCACGAAGCCAAAGCCTCGGGACCGACCAGTCTCGCGGTCCAGCATGATTTGGTGCTCCAGAACATAGCCATAAGAATAAAAATATTCCTTCAACTCATCTGCAATGAATCACTGGATTAAAACATCTATTCTAGATCATGGACAATAAGAACTCGTATTGAATTTTACCTTCGGTTAAAGATAATGGAAGACCGCCGACAAAAAATTTCTTTGTTTTTGGAGCTCCTTTAACTTGCATGTCCTCCTTAGGTACTGTCCTTTTCACTTCCACCTGATCCAATAATCCTAGTAGATTTACTAAATACATACTTCCAAACTAAGTTGCTTCGACATGGCAGTTTAGGTGCCGCACCCGTGTCGATACGACACTAGTATAGGTGTGGGTATGGGTTCCGTACCGGATCTGGCCAAATAATTTTGGGTACTTTGACCACAACGGGCGAAAAATTCGAGACGAGATACAATTTGGTTCCCGAAGTCTGAACCAAAATTAGGGTAAATTTGAAGAAAATAACATACATTATCTAAGAAATCAATTCTTTGCTTATCTACAACTTGAGAATTAAAAAGAAATCCACACTTCACAATTTATACTTTGGTATTTCACAAAAATTCTCATAATTTAGAGACATTTTTTATATTTTTAATTTTTTTGAATTATTTTTAGCCGGATCCCCGCACCCGTATCCGTACTAGGATCCGTATCCCCGATTTTTAGAATTTACATTTCTAAGAATCCGACCTCTAGATCCGCACCCGTATTGGGTACCGTGTCCGAGCAACTTAGATTCCAAATAAACCAAAGAAAACATGACATTACAAGATACCCCTACTCAAAAATCCTACCGTTCTACCATCTATGACGTGGTCTTCCTCTAAAACCTTATTCACAACTTCTGGGTTAGCAAATGTTACAAATCCAAATCCTCGCGGCCGTCCAGAGACCTTATCCATCATTATTACACAGTCAGTTGTCTCTCCAAACCTGCTGAAATATTTCCTAAAAGATTCTGGAACAATAACATGTATAAAATAAGTATCGAGCTGAGAGTTGGATTTAAGAGTAAGAAATAAAGACAAAGCGGACACAATATACATATGTTAAACATAAACTATTTGAAAGTGCATTCTTACAACAATGCAACAGTTTTTTTAAAATCATTTGAATAAACTATAGATTCACCCAAAACCAGGCAAATACATAAGAAATGAGATAACTAACTCACGAAACTAAATTATTGTATCAGAGGCAGAGGCGGATTTAGGTTTTTTATAACATTGGTGCACCACTAAGGACATCAGAATCAGAAATTAGATTACCTTCATTGGTCTCCCAAGCAATGCCTCCAACAAAAAGCTTTCTAACAACAAGCAAAACCAGCAAAGTTACAATACTTTCGGCATGGCCTTATGCGTTTCGCCATCATCTAAACCCTAAAGATCCAAAACTAGAAGCTACAAAACTAAGTACTAAGCTACAAACTAACCCTGCAGAAGAATCATCGATTGAATGCTTTAATTCATGGCCTGCACTATTATCTCCACGGGTTTCTGAATATGGCTCTAGTGGTTGATAGTTACCATCATTTTGTTCAGCTACATCATAATCCATTTTGTTCCTATTGTTTCTCTATCTATAGATATACCTGCAAATAAATACGAGATTATTTTCGACTACAACCTATAACGTTTTCCCTGTGGTTCCACACTTTTCATCTAAACCCTAACAAAATCTTGACATGCAGTAACAGAGGCGAAGCTAGCTTATGGATTTATTAGACGGAATTGAATAGCGATGAGAGTAATTGGAGGTCGAAAGTCTTTGTAATTGCAAAAATCCTAGCAGCTTTGCGCCCTTTTTCGTATGGTGGAGATAGGAAAATTGCTGCCGCGCCAAGAGATAGAAGTGAAGGTTGCATTTAAGGGAAATATCTCGCGCTTTGGAGTAGTTGTATAGGCATTTTTCCCCTTTTGGTAAAAGTTTACTAGCATCCCACATTTTTCACACTTTAATTTTTAGGACAAATGGCCTCTTAGGCACTTAAAATTGTACCTGATTGACATGCCGGTAAATAAATTTTCAAAATTTTCACGTGAACACTTTAATTTGAGCATAAGTAAACTAATAAATACCTCTGACCGTTGACTCAATCTATATAGCATCAGTTATTCCTAGTCAGTTGTTGTGCGTGTAAGTCACGCCTCGCAGAAGTGTGAATGAGCTTTATTCAATGCTCAAGGAAATAAACCCAAGCGCCCATCTATTTAGAGGGCTTCTTCTTCCTCCTTGGCCTACAAGTAGTTGCTGTAATTTTTTCAGGTGGGTTGATCCACCTCTTCTAGATCATTAAAAACAAGTGATTTCGAGACTGCTATCAAGAATTTGTGTCAATGAGCAGTGAAGGAATAGGGAAAAACAATATGTATTTGCGTTTGTTGCTGTTGTACTGCTCTTTGTAGTGTTATTCTGAGCTTATGATCTTTATATTGTATGTTTATTCTTAACAAACAATGACAATGTCAAGTATACAAATTTTTTTGTTGCAAATGAAAAGTGATGCTTTGCATTAACATCTGAACATGTATTAGACAAGTTCAAAATAATCATCTTGATTGTCAAAAGTAGACCATCAAATTTACACACTAGCATAAAGCAGTTTACTATTGTGCCTAAACCAAACCAAAACAACATTCATTAACTAAGTTCTAAATATTTCAGACTAAATCTTCCACAAAATAACCTACAAATAAGTTCTGATACTAACAGATTTAAACTTTCACAAAAAGAAACATTTCTTCAAATCATTATAGTTGAGATTGTTGAAATTGGACTGAGATTGGCTCAAGTTTGGCTGATTTGAAGAATGAGCTCCAGATTGGCTTAGGGTTGCTTGAGTTTGTCTCCTTCTAGCCTGTTGTTGAAGCTACCTTTGTGTTACTGCATTTGTTCCTTTCCACCTTAGTCCAGGTGCTTTGTATCCAAGATCAATATTAGTCTGGCTAAAATCAATTATTTGCCTAGGATCATGGGTGACTTTGTCCCTTAACCCAAACTACATTCAAATAGAAATATAATTTCAGAATTTAATATAGTAATTAGACACAACAGTTGGATAGAATTTCACATACTTACCCTCTATATGACTGTCCCTGATTCACTAAACAGTATTCCAAAACCAACAGTCTTAGGCCTTCCACCTAAAGTTCTAAGAATTTGTTGAGGAATCATTTGATCTTTCTTTTGTTGTTCCAGATTGTTGTATTCCTGATCCACCATCAACAATAGTTCAAGAATTTCTTTATGTTGCACATCTAGCTATTGCAGTAGTACCATATTGTTGTGATGCATATCCACCACCAGCAGTAGTACCAGAATGACCTCCTGATGCAGCTGTAGTAGCCTGGGCATTTGTAGTACTACTCCTAGCACCAACAGTTGAATTTTGCCCTTTCTAAAACATTCAGAATATAAAAAATACAGGAAAAGACTAAAAAACACTTAAAGCATAAGGAGTATTTATTTATTACTATGATCTCACATCCTTTCTTGTTATGCCCTACTGTCTTGCAATGAGAATATGTCATTAGTGTCCCCTTCCTTGATCTCTTACCAAATTTCTTTATAGGTTCATCTTGAGTCTTCCTTCTATGTTTCTTAGGTATACCAGGCATCTTAGTAATTACATGAGGCTCAACTTTGGGGTTCTGAGTTAGAGGCCACATATTCCATGTTGGTTATAGGTTGAATATAATAATTGAATGCCTTGAGGTATGTTTCCTTCTTATACAAGTGCTCAACATAGTCAACAGTGTTATACCTTTTAAATAATATTACACAAAGTGTATGGGAGAGGGGTATGCCTTCCAGCTACCACATTCTACACGAGCACTCGTTCTTTTCAAAATCAACTATGTATTTGTAAATTCCGTCTTGGATATTAGATCCAGTGTCCCCATTCCATTTATATTCATGTTTGGTGACTCTTACAGATTTATCTTCAATGTACCCTATTGCCATATGAGATATATCAGAATTCCGCTTTATAGCAAATTCTCTCATACTGGTCATCATCCCTATTACCTTCACTCAGATCTCTTCCAAAATGGTTATGATTGACTTGTGCCTAGAAGTAAGTATCCAACTATTGAAAGTCTCACACATGTTGTTCTCCACAACATCATACTTACTACAGTTTTTAAAAAAGGCCATGTACCATGATTGTTTGGGATATCTAAGCAAGTTTTTCTATTATCTTATTGCCACCAAATTATACCAACTCATTTAGTTTAACCTTCAGAAATGCTTCAAATGAAGCTCTTGCACAACCCCAAAGTTTCTTCCTTCTTTCCTCGGCACTCTAGGTTTTCTTCCAGTTTCTCCATATGCGCCTTGCACATATTCTATGCTCATCATCTGGCATCAATTCAGATACAGCTTGAACAAGTCCCTTGATCAATAAAAATACGTTGTTAGAGTTCATATAATGCAAGCTTAAGTATTAAAGTAAAAAAATGAGATTAAAATAATACACATACCTTTTGCATATTAGACATAATATTTAGTCCTTCACATTCAGATTTTGTCAGTTTCAAGTCTTCCATTAGATACCTAAATAAACACGACCAATTGTTCTTGGTCTCTTTCTCAACCACTGGCCAAGCAACAAGGTACATATGTTTAGTACCATCCTTAGCAATGCATGCCAATAACTCACCTTTATACACCCCTTTAAAAAATGCACCATCAAAGCCAATTATATTTCTACACCCTTCTAACCAACATATTTTCAAAGCACGTAAACAAATGTATATCCCTACAAAGATCTCTTTACCAGGTTCTATTTCTTTGGAAGTCCTCACCACAACAGTGTTGTCAGGGTTAATAGTTCTTATCATGTCAGCATAATAATAAATTCTAGCAAACTTTATTTGTAATCACCTAAATACTTACCCATTACCTTCTGTCTAGCCCTGGCACATATTGTTTTTCCTACATGCACACTATGCGTAATCCTTATCAACTCTTCCAACTTCTCGAGCTTTATGTTAGGCTGATTAATGATCTTATCTTTGTAATGTTTAACTATTCAAGCTGTGCTAGCAAGCTTGTTATGTGTGACTGGGAAGCATGAATAAACAGGGTAGTAGTTAACAATGAAGTTCTATGTGTGTCCATGTAAACTGCCTAAAATATGCCATCTATATCTACTAGAGTTCAACATGTTGACCTGAACCTATTCCTCTCATTTGGCCTCAACTTTAACTGAACACTCCTCTGTATAACATAGTCTTGTAAAGTAGATCTAAATTTTCTAACATTTTCAAAGACCATTATAGTTGAAAAATATTTTTCTTACAGTTAGGGTCAAAGTAAACCTTTCTACTGTATCTTCTTGGAAGAAGCTTCTGTACCTTATCATCTGCATCTACATCATCATTAGTACTATCCTTACTCCCTGGATCTAACCTGTCTAGGTAATGGCCATCCCATCCCAATTTGCCAGCATATTTAGCAGTCTTGTCCTTATAAATGTCTTTAAATTTAGGGTCAATGCCTACTGGGTCACTAGGTAGCTCATCTACATTAACATCACTAGAATCTCTCGTTCCAGTTCTTCTGATTTACTTTACTTTGTCTAGTAACAACAAGGTCAGTTTCTATATCACTTGTCTCTCCAACAACATCATCAACAACATCATAAAGTGACTAGTCTATATTCTCATCAGCAGAAATACCCTCATATTGAGCATCATCACTCTCATAATTACTCTCAAATTCATCACAATCTAAATCTGTGACTAGATGAAAGTTGTAGAACTCCCTTCATTCTTAGTAGACTATTCTATATCAGCGGCCCTCCCGTTACCCTTCCCCTAAGAGAAACAACCACTATTTATATTATTGGTAGGTGAGTTTGTTGCCTAGCATTAGCTCTACTTGTTTGCCTTTGTGGCACTTCACTATAGCCAACTGTTTGTTCATATGGAATATCACTGGGGACCACATCACTACTTAATATTTCATCCAATTCAATATCAACGCATGGTATATTAACAGTGTGACATAAATAAACATCAATAAAATCCCCATCACGAAGGTCTTTGAAGAATTCTAACACATCAACACCATACTTAATAAATCGAAATGCTCCCTTTTTTCTTGGCATGCAAATTTCTCCACACCTAAGTACCCCATATCATTTGTCCGTTTGTTGAATTGAATAACAAGTAGTTCATCTGTGTCATCAGTTACAATAGTAGGCCATGTTATATCATTTTCACATCTCATTAATGAGCCAACTACCAATTGTCCCTGATGGTGAAATTGTAATATCACAAAAACAACCATCCTGCCTCCCTACGCCTATGAAAATAAGATAAGATAAGTCCAAATCGGTAAAATATTCAAAATAAAAAGACAATATTGTCTAAACATGTCTTTGAAAAAAAACAAGCAAATCCGGGGAAAGAACCCTAACTTTATCACTTTAAGAGATAATTTTTTTTATATGATAAAAAGCCCTAATTTTGTAACACTATATGTCAAATCAGCCATGGAACTAACAAAGTTCAGAGAAAAAAAATAAGAATCTAGTGTGTTATTCCAAAAAATTCTAATTTTAAACCCTAATAACGAAAGAATTATTGCATGCATACAAAACATATCTATCATTACCACCTTCAATAACACATTAAAACACAAGAAAATAATCAGAAATTTCATTAAAGACTACAATCGAACCTTGAATGACTTCTACGTTTCTGGTGAAGGAGAAAATAACGGTACACGAAACACCCAGATTCCTGGTTTGGGACCGATTTGAAAGAAAAATAAACACAATATGTAGATGATCTAATTGGTGGAAAATCCCATGACAATCATTCACTCCATTTGAGCAGACGATCGAAAATGTAGAGTTCTATAAGAGTGAGACGACTGAAAATAAAATTACTTTTGAGTGTTTTATGGTCTTTAGGTCAAAAAAGGAATAGCAAATAGTTGGTACTTAGTGTGTTTTCACGACTTACACGTGACATGTTTTAATTCGATATTGGTGACCGGATTGCCACGTTTGAGAAATTGTAATGCACGCGCTATGATTCAACTGTCGGATGTGTTTATTAGTTAACTTATTCTCAGGTTGAAGTGTTTATATAGGAATTTTGAAAGTTTATTTACCGGCATGACAATTGGGTGCAAGTTCAATTGGCGAGAAGGTCTTTTTGCCTATTTTTTATGTGCTAAGGCTATGTTATTTGATTGCATATAATCACCAAGTGCAAATAAGTAGTATTTATTTTTTGCCCTATTGGTCCATGTCCTGTGACTTTGCTCTGTAATTTGGTTTATAAACAAATAATCAATAATGCAGTATTATAATGCAAAAAAGTGATGCAAAAAAAATCTTGTTAAATGTTTAGCTCGATATAACATAAAATGGTATACAATGTGTACTTTTTGAAAGAACCAAAAAAAAAAAAAGTTTGCTTACTAAAGGGTTAGCTTTGTCGTGTTTTTAATCCATGTATTATTTGTGTCCGCATTCATATTCCATTTTTTATGTCACATAAAATAAAGCATAATTTTCACAAAATGTATGTATGTATTATTTATTAGGAAGACTGAAGTAATAATCAAATATTATATAAAAGAATATGGGTTTTTATGAGAAGATTAAATCTACACAAAGCTCAATCAAATGACTCCAAATTGTAATGTTAAGATTAAAATATATGTTTTGTTTATTTTTTAAAAATTCAATAGTCTTGCTAGTACATGTGTTAGAGTGAGTTAATTTTGCGAATTGTCGTTGTATTAGTGTTAAAGTTATCTTATTTATAAACCTCGGAAAATTTTGTCAGAGGAGTTCGAAAAATAAATTTCACTACCTTGAGTAAAAATTTACTCATATTTATATTAAATCAATAAACATATGATATATGTCTTTTACATACGCATTTATTACTTAACTATAATTAATTTTTATTATATAGTTTTACTAGAATATAGACTTAAATATTTTAACTAATATTATTTAAAGTAAACATCGTATATGAGTAAGTTTTCTACTATATTTTCTTATTGCTATTCTAATATTGTATGAGCAAGAGGTGCATTGAATCAAAATTCAATATAATCTTGAAAATGATTTTTCTTTTAACAAAAAATGTCTTTTTTCAACGAACATTTACTATACACAGAGTTAAAGTTTAATACGATCTTAAAAATGGAAATTTTGTTAATAGAAAAGCTTTTTTCCTTACAAACATTATGCTATACGAATTTGCATTAGTCTTATTGTCCGAGTATTTTTTCAAGAATTTCAAATATCCAATGATTAATATAGTAAAAAAAGAAAAAAGAAGGGAATATCCGATGACCCACTTGAGAGTTGAGACGCACGAGCGGGGCACCGCCCGAGGTGGCTTTATAAACTTTGGAATTTATTTATACCAATCAAAACTGCTCGCACCAAAAACCCTTACCATTTCCCTCCTTCTCCCCCCTTTGCTTCTCTCACTTCAAAACGCCTATTGAAATTATTCAATCTTTTTCCAGCTAGGGTTTCTAATCCGTCCCACTATGAGTAATTCCAATAAAGATCACTTCGACATGTCCGATCTCGGCGCTTCTCTCCCCGCCGCTGCCGCCGGTAAAATCCCTAATCTTTCCCCTAAGCCAATTCGCTTTTTAATTGATTCCTCTCTTTTTTTTGGACGAAGTAATTGATTCCTATCATTTTGTTATTGTATCTGTTGTTTGTGTATAGCTTTGAGTGCCGAAGATCGTGCTGGCTTGGTGAATGCGCTCAAGGTTACTTTTTGTTTTTTACTTTTTATTTGTTTCACATATTCTTAATTTAATACGCCCAACTGTTTTATCTTTGCCTCTTCTATGTGAAATGTGTAGAATAAGCTTCAGAATTTGGCTGGGCAGCATTCGGATATACTCGAAACTTTGACGCCACAAGTTAGGAAGCGTGTAGATGTTTTAAGAGAGCTTCAGGTGCGTTTATTCATCGCTGAGATGTTCTGGATTTTATACTTGCTTCTTCTTTTTCAAAGAATATGCATTTGGCATATGGATGCATTAAGAAAATTAAATAATCCTATTTATGGTAGTTTTGTGGGTCCTATCCCGAGTTAAAGTTGCTTCCTGATTCAATTTACAGTTCGAATTGTAATGTCCTGGTTGATAGATTTCATGAAGAATGTGATTTAGTGATGTTGGTAGGTTTCTTTGACGCAACTATTTTCTGAAAACTAATGTTGTGTTTTTGGAAGCAAAGGCGAAGCCATGATTTTGAGTTTATGGGTTCTGGATATAAGAAAATGCAGCTTACAGGGTTTTGGATAAATTACTTCTACATACTAAGTGTATTTTTTTTTTAATACAAATAGAGGGTCTGGCAAAAGCTACTAGATTCTGCCGAACCCGTAACTTAAACGCTACCTCTGCCCCTGTTTGGAAGTTCAAAATTGTCCCTTTCCATGCCCTATATTGGCATTTGGAAATAAAGTGGGGTTGTTGCTGAGTTGTTTCATCTG